CGAACTGAAATATCCGTGCAAAAAAAAAAAAAAATAATAAAAATTCCAATCGATTAAGTGCAATTCAATAGTTATTATTGTGCAATTCATATAGCACTATGGTGCACTTCATCTAACACTATGGTGCACTTACATTGCATATATTTTTAATAATTTGTTTTAACACAAACTAAAATTGAATTTAAATAATCGATGTATTCGATCAATTAACCGAAATACCATAAATAATATAAATAATTTAATAGTTATATTAAGAAATATATGTAGTATTATTTAATATTTATATCTAATGTTTTATATTTTTTGGCTGAAATAAATAATATTTCTATATTAAAATCTATAAAACTATTTTTTATATAGTTAGTCGGTTTGATTATTCTGATTATTTTTAAAAAAATAATGTCGATATTTGACTGACATAATCAATATTTTACAAATAAAAATAGATAATCGAACCGATATATAATATTTGAAAATGAAACCTTTAGCTAATTCGGTTTCGGTCATTATGTGCAATTCGTCTAACATTATTGTGCAACTTGGTAGTCGTGAATGTGCAATTCGACTAACACTTTTGTACAGTCGCAGTGCTTGCATTTTTTTAAATGACTTATCCGAACTCAAACTAAACATAACTGAAATAATCAATTTATTCAATCAGATAACCGTATTAGCCTACATTTACAAAATAATGTATAATTTATATTATAAAAACTAAATTTTAGTATTTCCATACTCTTATTTAATATTTTATATTATTTGTGGTTGAAAATTCATAATATATATAAAATAATATAATATTTGTTATATAATTTGGTCGACTGGTTGTTTAAAAAATAAATAAAGCCGACGTCGAACCCGAATAATTAAAATTTTAGAAGGAAAAAAAACAATAACTGAACCGACATATATAATATGTAAAAAAAAAAATCTATATATCAGTACATATGCTACGTTAAAATGCAATCTCAAAGGCCCAAAAGTGCAACAATGTCTTATAATATTTTGATGGTTTATATTATTGTAATACTAAATTATTATTTTTATTGTTAACTTACTAATTTATTATTAATATATATAGTGTGCACGGTTTCAATTTATATTGTGCATTCTAAAATGATCAAACTCTTGTCTCAAACAAAATTAAAATTGAACCGAATAACCAAAACAATTGAAATAAAATATTATTTATTTGTATTATATATATTTATTTATTTATTTATTTATTTTTTTCATGAACTTAATAATATTTATATATATATAAAATATTAACCCGACATCGAACCTTAATAATTTCAGTGAAAATAATATCAAATAATGTAATCGAATTTCAAACAAACAATTTAGTCTTTTTTATTTGTTAATTTTCTGTGCAATTCTAAACTTTATTTTGTGCAATTAAATTAATAGTATTGAATGATTATTAAAGTTTTTATAAATTAGAAAATTGATCCATGCACTAAATTGAAATTTATTAAAAATTACAAAATTGCAATCGGGTCCCTATAGGTTATCTAATTCTCAAACAATCACCCAGCATAATTTTCATGTTCTCTGATTTTCAGACTTCAACGCCATCCCGCCGCCGCATGTATCATCTGTCGGATGCTGTTGGCGAGTCCAGCCGTCGGCGTGTGAGAGGAGGACGTCGGAGAGTCAAACGTCGAGTTTGATTTTGACGGGGCGGAGTGGCTGAGAGCGGGAGTGTGGCGTCGACAGGCATGCAATTTCAGGCATCCTCGTTCATCGTCTCCTTGGTCGGGATGGACAGCAACCGACGAGCTTGATTCCGATGGTTAGATCTCAGCTGGAGGTGGAAGTCTACATGGTCGATAGTGGAGGAGAACCGCGACGTCTGAGAATAACTTTGGCTGAGGCGTATGGCGGTGTGCGAGCGTGTGGTGGCCGTCGGCGGACGATAGCCGAGTGTTACCGGAGGCGAGCTTGATATCGGTGGTTAGATCTCAGCCGGATGTGGCAGTTTACAAGTTTGATGGCGGAGGAGGGCGGCGACGGTTGAGAATAACTCTAGCTGAGGTGTATAGAGGCGGGCGGGCGTGTGGCGGTCGTCGGCGGACCATAAGCGAGTGTTACCGATGTGAGCTCGAGTGTGCGACTATGTTTGTGTCTGTGAGAGAGAGAGAGAGGGAGAGCGTGGGGTGGGTATGGCAGGTGTATTAAAATCTGAATTGATTGGTTGGTTGATGGTAGGTGGCAAATGTATTAATGGGAGTGGGCTCCACCTCTTTGCGCTTGTGTGTGTGGAAAATTACCACAATACCCTTAATGAAGGTATAATTTTGATCTTTTTTTTAGCCATTAGATCATCCGATCTAATGGCTACGATTTATTCTTATTTCTTTCACTGAGCACGTTTCTCATGGGCGCGCGACCCTAAATATATATATATATATATATATATATATATGTATGTATATTTATCGGCCTTGATTCACCTTAGATCTTCTGTAGTATGACCCTACATCTTCTCTGTTCGTCTTGGTGGACGACGATCTCGAAGATATCTCGATTGGGGTTTTTCTAGAGAGTGGTTGGCGGCTACCTTGGGCATGAGGGTTTTATGCGTGTGTCTATGTTCAATCCCAAGAGATGTGATGTATTTATAGGAAACAACAGGGTCCCTAAGGAGGCATTAAATTGGGCTCCTCGTATATGGGCCTAACTGTGTGCTGGTTTATATACTGAAAGCTTGGCTTTGGATGTTATTTACACTATTTCTGTTGAATAAGAAATCGTGTTTGATTAAACAAGTTCTATGATTTTGCATTTAGATAAAATGATTCTCCACGGATGGACAGAAGATCATTTTATCAGTCACTTGCGAAACAAGAATGATTTATTCACAACCTAGATGGAAATGTACAAACCATCGGAACGGTTGTAGTGTCAACGGTACAGTGGGTCTTGATTGATTAGTTGCACCAGTACATTTATACATTGAACAGGATCTCAGAGAGGAGTTTTTCGTTTTATACTGATTGTCATCGTCGTCAACAAACTAGGTCTCGGTTAGTTACTGCGTTCCCTTAACCCGTATGTTATAAACACGCATGTGCACAAAATAGTTGCTACTTTGATTCACCAAAAGCGAGATTCATTCTGTTGAGTCAACAGTATTCGTGTTTTTGGTAGTAGTATTGTGTGTATGGTATGCTACTAGAATATTTACGGTCACCATGTACGTTAGTTTGATGATGTCCTTTAAGTGATCTCACGAAGAATTGTTATGTTAAACCTTGCACATGAATTATGTTTCGACATAATAATAATGTTTTGAGTGGTACTAGCTTTGGTTCAAGATGTCGATTAATTCTTGATTGTTGATAATATAAGTAATTGACGAATATTATATTTCAAATATGGAGAGTTAATTGGAATAAGTATAATTGGAGTCTCTTATATAATTTGGGAATTTTTACTAATGATTAAATTTGTAAAAGTAGAATAGTTTATAATTATATAATTTATTTTTATTAATGGCTAAATTTGTAAAACACGATATATTCACTATTTAATTTATAATTTTAAATATAATATTCATATATTTATGACTAATAATATTTTATTTATATTTATACTATACATTACCGTTGGTAGAAATGTTAAACGGGCTAGCTCTAGCGGTTTCGGGCTAGCCGTAGCGGGCTTCGGGCTAAACGGTCCGGCCCTAAAAAGCCCGGATTTAAACGGGTTGTAAATAAAAGGACCTAACCCTAACCCTAGCGGGCTTCGGGCTAAACGGGCTATGCGGGCTTTAATAATAATAATAATAATATATAAGAAAAAATCAAAAATAAAAAGAGAAAAAAATAAAAAAAAATAATAACGGCTAGTAAACGACTGTTTTCAACGGTTATTTATTATTTACCGTCTATCCCTATGTACTATATGTTTCATATGTTTCCTATAAGTCGTTCTGATGGGCTTAAATATTTTGGTTTGAAGTATAATGTTAATATTGTTAATAATTATCTTTCAAAATCATAACAATCCATTACAACTCATAGTTACATGTGAAGTGGAATAGCAAAATTGTAATATACAAAGAATCTAAGAGCATATTACTTAATCGATGCAAACATTTACACCGCCCAACCCTAGTTAAACGGGCCAGCCATAGCAGTTTTCAGGCTAGCCCTAGCGGGCTTCGGGCTAAACGGTCCGGGCCAAAAAAGTCCTGATTTAAATAGACTACTAATAAAGGGACCTAACCCTATTTTTTTACCGGGCTAAACGGGCCAGCCCGTCGGGCCAAGGACAACATCTCTAACCGTTGGGTACGTCACACCAAAAATTGTGATAAATGCATGTGTAACGTTTTGAACTTTGTAGCTAAGTTGCCCAACTTGGTGGCCAAGTTTGTCCAGTGCTGCATTAAATAATTATTTCCCGGTTAATAACTTTCCTCCTAAACCGGCGGTCAGTTGCTACCGGTACGCAGCGCCGTAGCTTACTTGACTTTTCGTCTCTGTTTTTTTTTTTTTGGCCCAGAATATTCGAAATTCCCAATCCTAATCTACTTGCAATTGCAAGTTGCGTCTAGAAAGTTTGCATCCGTAGCCCTAATTGCTATTCTGTACCGGAAAGTACAAAACCCCCAACTCTATCATCATCATCATCATCATCCCTATAAATACCTTCACCTCCGACTTTCCTTCTCCCATCAACCTCCTTTCCTCTCCTTCTACACCCTCCTTCCAAGAATTTTAATTTTCCTTGCGTTTTTTCTCGATCCATTTTGTTCACCTTTGCGCTGTAATCTCTAAAACATTTTACAGCTCTGAATGGTAGAAATCTCGAGCGAGCAATTAATGGTCGCCCCCTTTTGCTCTCGAAGGGGGATTTTAGTTCTGGCCGTGGACTCATTTTGCTTCGGGTCTTGCATGGAAGGCTGGTACTACCGCTGCATCGGAGTCGATCCTTGAACCTTTTCTTTTTTTCCTCTTCCGAAACACCATATAAACTTCAATTTTCTGAGGAATTCATTTTTTATTTTTTTTAGCTCNNNNATTATGTTTTTTTTCCTAATCTCCGAAAGAAAATTGAATAAGAATCGAGATAAAATGGCTGTTTACAAGCAGAAGAAGAATCGGGCCGTTAAGGCCAACCGGTTTCTTATTAGCGTCACCGTTGTGGGTAGCGCGGGCCCGATTCGGTTCGTGGTAAACGAGGATGAGCCCGTTTCTGCTGTGATTGACCACGCATTGAAAGCGTATGCGCGTGAAGGAAGGCTTCCTCTTCTCGGATCTGACTTCAATAACTTTATGCTCTACAGCCCCATTTCTGGAACTGAAGGTACAGAGCTTTCAAAATTTTTGTAATTCCTTTCATAATACTGCTCTGTGGTGATATCTAATTCTGATTCCGTCAATTTTTTTGTTATTAATTGTTATTCTCATGAAGTACTGTTTGGTGATCTTTGGGTTTAAACCTCTGTCTTTTTATGTTCAGCAGCACTTGTGAGTGGTTTGTTCAATTTGTTCTTCATCTACGGAAATGAAGGATGATGATGATGTTTTTGTGGTTGGACTGAACTTGAAGTGTGATTTCTTGATTACTTAATACATATTTATCTAGTGTCCATTTTATTTGCTTTGCTCCCTTGCCAATGTCAATCTGTTTTTGGCGTGGTCTCCAGTTCTTTCGAGGCTGCAGTTTTTTGGTAGATGATTAATTATTTGAATTTATGGTGCTAAGAATAATAATGTGAATGTACCTATTGCAGCTTTGCTTCCATGGGAGACGATCGGGTCATTTGGTGTTAGAAATTTCTTCCTGTGCAAGAAGCCACAAACAGAGACTGTTATTGCCATTTATGATGATAAAGCATCTCAAGTGAGCAAGAAGGGGGGAGGAAGTTGGAAATCATGGTTCCATAAATCTCTCAACCTTAAGATATCTCTTCAATGAAATGAAATTCAGGTTCAGCTGAGGATAGGATTCCTTTTGGAAGTCTCATATAATAGTTTTGCTTCATTCAATGTGACCTTCATATTGTTTCTCACATCAATAAAAACAATTTGTTTCGTACGGTGGTTTTTGTTGAAGCGGTTGCATGTAGATCTCGTCTATTTCGGCTGAAAAGTTGTTTTTTATTTGTTTTAACGAGATAATTAGAAAGTTGTATGCCAAACTCGAAAGTTTGGATACATTCCCTTGAATCTACGGAGAGCCTCCCAACTAAGAGCTTGTTTGGAAACACTTTTCAAATGAATTTTTGGATAAAAAAGTCAATTTAGATAAATATTTATGTTTAGTTCTAAATTAAGAATGGACTTATGAATAAGTTGTTTCTTTAAAAAGTCCATTATGTAGAAGTAAATGATGGAGTCTTTTTTGGAGAAGTTTATTTTGGATAAGTCCATATCTTAAATAGACTTTTTCAGAAGTGTTCCCAAACGAACACTAATTTTTTACACTAAATTTCACATTCAAAAGTTAACTCAATTTTAATTNTATTATTCATATTATTAAATAATACAAATCAATAATTCTTACTGTAATGTTCCGTTTAATTATGGATTATTTGGAATTTATTATTATTATTATTATTATTATTATTATTATTATTGAATGTCTAAATATTATTTATTTGTCAAATTGTAATTAAATGCCTAAATGTCTAAATGTTATTATTATTTAAAAAATTGTGTGACTTATATATATAAATAATATTCATTTTATTTTAATTTTAATTGTGGAGCCGAACCAAATTAAGATGGCTGGTCGAGCCCGAGAGATGGCTAAGCCTCTAACCCGCGCCCCGGCCTATGTGAACCGGTCGACCCGGTTTCCCCATACGTGTCTGTGTGTGTTATGTGTCTTGAGGAATAAGATTCTAAACCTAAGCCCTATTTATTTTTGCTCGCTCGTTCACAAGCAGAACACCAAAAACGCACGCCATAAGTCTCAAATCTCTCGTCTCTCATCGACTCGCAGCCTCTCATCATATTTTTTCCTCTCCCATCTCGATCGCGATCATCAAGAGCAGAGAAATCAATTCCCGTCGCCACCGATCATCCTCTCTCTCTCTCTCTCCCTCTGCATAAACGCAGCAGCCATATCCTTCCCCCTTTTTCTCTCGCAAAATCCGATCTCTTCCGTCATCATCCTCGCGAAGTTGCCGTCTCTCCGACCAGCAGCAACTCGCGGTGTCACCATACCGTTGAGCATCATCACAGTGACATCATCCCTCGCGAGATCCTCCGCTGCGACGTGATCCACAGCGTCGCGACCACCGTTGCTGTAACGCTCCGTTTAATTTTACAGAATTTATCGAATTTATTTGGTAAAAATCAGAGTTATTTCTTTTTTCGAAAATCCAAGTTAAAACATTTATCGAGAAACGACGCTACTTACTAACTACAGCAATTAAACACATCCAAACAATCAGTTCAATGAACCTACGCGTGCTCGAGCTATCAAAATAACAATCCCAGTAATTATAATTTTAAAATCATTCCCAAACGTCTAGCATGAATCAAGGTTCAAACGAAACTCAAACATAGTTCGAAGGCAAATAAATAAATAATCCAAAGTATTTGAAAACAAATAAAATAAGTAACAAGTTCATGCGGAAGCATAAGATATCATCAAACAGTGACCACCATCTCACACGTCCTACGTCACCGCCTCCAGCTCGTCTCAACCTAAAACAAAGGAAGAGAGAAAACAACAAAGAAAATAATGGGGGTGAGCATAACCAACAAGCTCACCATTATCGCACAGTATATCTCGCATAACATTTTAAACATCATAACCATAGTATTCAGTATGCATAGAATCCAACAGTCTAACTCCCTACTTGGCCCTATCGCAAACCTCCTATGTACATACAATAACCTTCCGACCAAACATCGGCAAGGCCGTAACTGGAAAATTTACCCCACCCCGAACTACTCACGGATCATGGGAGTCCACCCCGAACTACTCACGGATCATGGATGTTTTCCAGGAGACAGTGGAGATGTTTCCCTCCCCTCCCCCCGAAACTCACACGGATCAGGGCGTCTCCTCCCGGATACAACGGGCAGGTGACCTCTCACTGTTATGCATTCGTCAAAGGCACTACCAATAGGATATTTAGACTAGGGTTCTCACGCATACAACATTTTTCAAAAGAAGCATTATACGAAATAAATAGTGCGATAAATATGGAATACATCATAAATGTACCCACCTGATAGCAGCTACAGTTCAAATCACAAATCTCGAGACGAGGCGAGGTTCAACACCTCTCGACACCTACATTAAGTCCAGATACTAAATTCAACACTTTAATCTAGACCTATGTAGCAAATTCACAAGTTGACTTAGCCGAACTCGGTTCGACCAAGTGGTTCGTGAAGTTCTGTGGATATGGGAACACTAGGACTTAGCCTCGATCAAACCACATATTCGAGTTCACACAAAAGCAAGTGAAAGACAACAAACGAGCCACAAGCAAAACACATGGCACATTTGGTCATCAACACTTGACACATTTCAACATAGAAAAATAATTTCTCAAATTCACACTTGAATTAGAAGGCATATCAAATCAATAAGTTAGGTTCTGAAACTTTAACATAAATTTCACATCCCAGTTCTAAGTAAGATCACCCAATTTCAGCTTCAAACTCCTTATGCATAATTTTATAAAATTCAAACAAGTTTTTCAGCAAAAATGATTTTGAATTAAAAGCACATGATAATGGACGATTCAGGCTATAAAATGTTTATCTAAAATACTACAGCATATGAACAGCATCACATAAATTTGCCAGCCTTCAACACTCAGGATAACAATTTTATAAAATTAAAACCACAACCAGCCAAATATCACAATTATATCAGAAATGATCACAAATGAACTCCAAAAATTCTAAACTTTTTACAGCATGATAAACATCATATAATTAGAATCTCCACTAATTTTCAGAATTTTTCAACTTCAGAACAATTTATCATAATTAAAACAAATTCGGGCAGAATCACAAAATAATTTGTTAACCCTATCTAACCTAGTTCAAAAATTCTAAACATTTTACACCATAGATAACCATGCCTGAAACATAACATACTCGAAAATTGGCCAGAAAAGAACATTACACAATTACTTATGCATTTTACAAGAAACTGAACAGAAAGAAATTTAATTTTTAAAAATAGCTAAACACCTTTAAAAATCACGAAAGTTTTACAGCAGCTACATATTCATCTAAAACAGTTGCTCCTACAATTTCAAGGAAATCGGACTAGTATTCGATTTATAGTGAATTTTTCAATTAAAACAGCCAATATAAATTTTGAAAAATCATAACGGTAATTATACACTTCCAATCGACACAAGGCCAACGCCATTGTGTTTGAATTAATCCTAAGTTTCTAAATCCACAGCAACTAATCATGCACGACCAGTTCTCGCTCGATTCGCATGAATCGACGAGTTACACATCAAAATTACGATAATAAAATGAACGATAACATCACATAAAATCATATAGCATCACAACACATATATTGATTAAACGAACACACTAGGCACAACCGAACATTATATTATTCACGAAATATTTAAACAGGGAGTCGAGACTCGATACCGAGCGAGTAAGAGTTCGGACGGCTCGACGGCGAACGATAGCGAAAGAGCTCGACGGAGGCTCGTGTCTCGCCGGAAGGAGGAGGTGCTGCAGCGGCTTCGAGAGGGGATGGGTCGCTGCTGCTAGGTCACCGGACGTTGCTGCAAGGTCGCCGGAGGGGGTCGCCGTTTGTTGCAACTGGTTGCCGGAAAAACGCAACAGAGGGGTTGCGAGTTGCTGCAACGGAGGAGACGAGCTGCAGGGCGCTCGACGGAAGGGGAAGGCAGCGATGGGACGCTGCTGCGCGGACGCCGGAGGTGATGGTGGCGACGGGAAGAGCAGAACGTGAGAGAGAGAGAGAGAGATCGATGCTGAGATGAACGAGAAAAGAGGAGAGCTGCGGATGAGATACGATCGAGAGAGAGAGAGAGTGAGATATATGTGGGCGTAGGGTTTGGAAGAACTTTTCTCACAAGAAAGAAATCACACACGCACAACAATAGCCAACTGGGTCGGCTTTATGGGTTGGGTGCCGGTTCGGTTCAAAGTCTGGGCTGGTGTGCGGGTTTGGTTGGCTCACGGGCCGGTTCAGGAAGATAAATCGGCTCACAGGCTCGCTTACAGTTCAAACGAATATTCTCGGGCTCGACTACGATTCACGCGAATACTCTTGGGCCCAACTTCAATTCAAACGCACGATAAAATAAATCGAACAACAATTATATTTTATATTTATATTAATACACATTATACACATTTTATAATTTATCACGAAAATAAATTGGCTTCTCGGCTCGGGTTCTCCGATTACTAATTTTGACAGCTCCAATCGATCGCACGATAAATAAACAAAACTCCGGACAATATAAATTAAATACGTACATTATTTTTAAAATACTAATATTATTAATCAAAATATACAATTAGCCATTAAATGGCAATTAGACATATAATATTTAGACATTCAAATTTACAAGCAATATTTAATAATAACACAATATTAATAATAATAATAATAATACTAAATAATCATAAATCATTCTCAAATGAACCACAATTAAATGGGGCACTACAGTCTACCCTCCTTAAACGATTTCCGTCCCCAAGAAAATCATCCCAACAGGACAACTGACACACGAGAGAAGCTCAAACCACTCAGCTCGGATACTCCGTCCGAATCTTCCCACTCTACCGAGTCACACCGTACTAGCCATGGTTATCCCGCCGGACTTTGACGAGTACCTCTTCCGGACTCTCCCTGCTGGATTCGTCAATCCAGTAGGTCACCGGTACCTCATCAAAGGTAAGGTTCTGCCCACATGCAGCTCGTCAAAGATCGCCTCGTGCCTAGAGTCGCGCACCTGTCCCCTCTCCACGAGGCACTGAACAGATCGTGCACTCTTGCAGGCTTCGGTGATGGGGTCAACCGTCAGTCTAAGACGCCGACTCGGTCGAGAATCACGAAAGGACCAACAAATGTGGCTGATACTTCCTCTCTCTTCCCAGAATTCGAGGCGTACAACGCCTCTTTCCATACTCAGAACCTCGTACGGTACCATCAAGATCGTCACTCATAGCCATTGCTATAAGCGCATTTTCTTATGGTAAGAAATTCCACACGACACACCCATCGAGTACACCAGACTCAAAACCAGTCTCT